CCTTACTTAGGGGACCTAACTCAGAGGGGCAGAACAGTAAGGAGGCTTGGAGGTCTCAGAAATCTCTGGCAAAGGTATGATTCTCACCTCTCTCTCATATGCAGTCTTCCCATCTTCAAGAACCACATAGCTGATTAGCTTTTTGTAGGCTTTTCAGGGAAGTAGGTCATATGAAAGCCATCACCATAGCCATTTGTGCTGCAGATGCTCTGTATACATTATATTCAGTATCTGCAATCATCCTGCAAGGTAGGTGGTAGTATCCCTATTTTGTCAGTGAGGAAATCGAAGCTCTGAAAGGTGAAGTGACCTGCTCAAGGTCACTCAACTAATAAAGACAGAGATGGGGGGGCGCCTGGGTGGCTCAGTGGGTTAAGCCTCTGCCTTCAGCTCGGATCATGCTCTCAGGGTCCTGGGATCAAGTTCCGCATCGGGCTCTTTGCTCAGCAGGGAGTCTGCTTCCCCCTCTTTCTGCCTGCCTCTCTGCCTACTTGTGATCTCTTTCTCTCTCTGTCAAATAAATAAATGAAATTTAAAAATTAAAAAAAAAAAGGCAGAGATGGGATACAGACCCGGGTTTGTGTGGCTCCAGAGCCTCCATGCTGCCTCTTTACTGACAACTCAGAATGTCTGAGCCTGGTCTCAAGCTATGGTATCTCAAGCCATCGCCTTGAGAGCAGCACCCTCTCTCCAAGAGCTCTGCACTTAGCTTCCTCTGATAGTGCTGAGGGCAATCTGTCTCCTTTTCTGGGAAGCCTTCGAAGCCCCTGGCTGATGAGCCCCCAGGCCGACCCTTGCTCTATGAGCTGCCTCCATCTTCCTTCCCAGCCTTGATGGAGACCGCATCCCCATTAAGAGAAAGGAAAGGATCTTCTAGAACTGCATCTCTGAAGCCTGGCCCTGCTCTGGCTTTTGCTGGAAGTCTAAAAAAAGCCACAGAAAGTGTGTACAACAGGCTAGTAGCTTTCAGTCCTGGAATCCTTTAGAAATGTAGATTCCCATAGTCCAGATTGGCTACATTCTCACATGATCCCCAATGAGTTACATGCACATTCAAGGTAGAAGCATTGCTCTAGGCCCTGGAGTCTGAGAGGTCCTCCTCCTAGCCCTGGCTCTCCTGTCAGCATCTATACTGTTGTTCACTCATCCCTCATCCTCTCACCCTCTCATGCAGACAACACACCTATCCTCACAGCTGTGTGTGTGACCTCCTCCTCCTTCCTCAACTTTAAAGAATAGTGCTCCAGTTCCTTAAGGAATGAGGAATTCCAGCTTTGAGAAAGATGAATGGGGGAGATGCGCAAGAAAGGGGTCCTTTTCTTAGACTATCCCAGGTTAAGAGCACCCACTTTCTTAAGCATGTTCAGGGTGGGGGGACCCTACTGACTCAGCTCCCCCCAGGATCTCACAGTACCCTCTACCACCTTGGCACATTTACCCGAAAGAATAAGAGAAGCTGGGAGGAGTCAGAAGAACAGCTTGGCTGCCCAGTGCATCCAGCACTGTCCCAAGGAGGCTCAGGTGGCCTGTCCTCACGACTATCTATCCAATCTAGGGTCTTGGGCTCATTGAACTTTCCACAGGGCCTTATCGAAAACAAAGCTCTGTGCTATGGGCTCAGAGAGCATCTGAATTTGTCTCCAGCTTCCATAGCCATGTAGAGTCCCATCAAGTCCCTGCACACACCCCAGCCTGCCCAGGGAATGAGAACAAGCACCCTGGTGGTGGTGGTGGGGGGTGGGACCTGGCAGGGACTTCTTCCAGGAGCGCTCTGGGGGTGCGTGGAGGATCTCCTGGAAGGGGAGGGGTTGGAGTGGGGCCTCAGGAGAGCCAGGGTGATTCTGACGGAGGGAAAAGGCTCTCTAGGTGGGTGGGGCCGGCAGAGGCCTGTCCCCAGACAGCTCACAACTCTCTAGGTGCCCAATTATCTGCCCTCGGTGAGCTCGGCCATCGGTGGGGAGGTGCCCCAGCGCTACGTGTGGCGCTTCTGCATCGGCCTGCACTCGGCGCCTCGCTTCCTGGTGGCCTTTGCCTACTGGAACCACTACCTCAGCTGCGCGTCCCCGTGTCCCGGCTACCGCCCACTCTGTCGCCTCAACTTCGGCCTCAACGTGGTGGAGAACCTGGCGCTGCTTGTGCTCACCTACGTCTCCTCTTCCGAGGACTTCAGTGGGTGCCCAGATGAGGGAAGGTGGAGCAGGGAAGGGTTGGGGAGGGCCACCCACCCCCGCCCTCCCTCGGACCTTAGGATGCTTGGATGCTCCCTGCAGGGCATGCTCCCAATCCCCCTCTCTCCCCCCAGCCATCCATGAAAATGCTTTCATTGTGTTCATCGCCTCATCCCTCGGTCACATGCTCCTCACCTGCATTCTCTGGCGGCTGACCAAGAAGCACACAGTAAGTCAGGAGGTACGGTCTACCCCTAGTGGGGCTCCAGGCGGCCCGGAGGAACATCCAGGACACCTGTCCTCAGGATGCGGGTCACAGTGAGGTGGGAGCTGGAGTTCCCATGGGAATCCGGGCCGGGGCTGGGACTTGGGGACAGGTGGAGGGTGGTCGAGTGGGCCAAATCTAGGACTATGTTTGGGTGATATGGGAGACTGGAAGATAGCAGAGCTGGGGGGCTCCAAGTTGGGGCAGAATGAGGGACAGCACCCAGGGTGCTGTGGGTTAGGAGCAGTGTCAGCGGTCTGTGGTACCTCCAGTGTCCACACACACACACACACACACACACACACACACACACACACACACACACACCCCCTTTCTTCTCCCTGTAGTACGTGGAGGGGTCAGGTTGGTGGGTGACTCCAAGTAACTTCATATTCCAACTGGCTGAAGTGGGAAGGGCCTCATTATCCTCACAAACGCAGGGATAGGAACATGCCCATCATTGCTGCTGCCCTTGCCCGTGCCCCCTTCCATAACCCAGGGAGGTAAGACACAGCTCTTAGGAACTGGGGCCAGGAGGGGAGGCTGCCCACCACATATCCAAAGGGCCACAGAGTGATGAGATAGCCCATCCTCTAGGACCGCAAGTCCTACAACTGGAAACAGCGGCTTTTCATCATCAACTTCATCTCCTTCTTCACGGCGTTGGCTGTCTACTTTCGGCACAACATGTATTGTGAGGCTGGAGGTGAGGCCAGGCTGGGATCCACTGGTGGTCACAGTGTCTGTTGGGATAGTTGTCATGTTTTCTGTAGTGTGCATTATGGCAGTAGTCTTGGGGGGCTTGCGCCCACTGCAGAAATGTGGTGGTGATTTACCAAGAGGCCCCGGGGGGGTTGGGGGCAGAAGGCTCACCATGCCCTGTTCTTGTGTTCTCACAACAGTGTACACCATTTTTGCCATCCTGGAATACACTGTCGTCCTAACCAACATGGCGTTCCACATGACGGCCTGGTGGGACTTCGGGAACAAGGAGCTGCTCATTACCTCCCAGCCTGAGGAAAAGCGATTCTAAACCCTTTCTCTTCTGCTAGGAAGGAGGCGGTCTACTGCCCAGAAACTAGAAACAAGACACTACACTCTGGCCTTCCCCGCCCTGTGTCCTCTGTGGGCCGTGCTAATTGGGGGAAGGGGGAGAAGAAAGGAGGAAGAGCATAGGACAGGGCTTCAGGCAGCCCTGCTGGCTTCTCCTTTCCCTCACCCCGCCTGAAGGCACAGGAACCTTCAAGCAGCATCACCCTTATCTGAGAGGCCCCAAGAGGCTGAGCTGGCAGGAGAGCTCCACCATCTGGTGCTAAAAAAAGTCGAGGTTCATAACCACCGAATCGGTTCTTGGCCTTTACATAGCCACCTCTTGCTGAGGTCAGGGACCACTGAACAGTGGCTGCTACCTGAAAACCACAGCCATCTCTCACCACCGGGTCATTTGCTTGACTCATGTGTCTACTCATGTCCTGTGCATACCCAGGCCTAGGGCCACCATCCTGTGCTAACTTTGCTCAGGTGTTCTAGCCCTGACTTCACCTCCAACTTAGAGTTTATGCTTCCCTAGTTAAGCCTCAGCGTGTCCGTGTGGGTGATGGCAGGGGAGGAGGGCTGTAGGATTTGCATGGGCTCTGCCAGTGGTTCTGAAACTACTTTGTGGAGGTGGTGTTCTGTACCTGAAGGGCAACCTGCTCCAGAAGGAGTGCTGGCACAGCACATATTTCCCTCCCTTCTGAAATCTCTGGCTTACAGACTCTTCCTCCTTGGCAAAGGTGTTAAGGTGGGGTCAGAGGCAGATTCCTGCCCCCAAATGGGCTCTCTGGTGTCCCCTATCCTCCCTACTGCCCCATGCCCTGACCTCTTTGGATTGTACATTTTATTTCAAATAAAATTCTTTTTGTTTTTGTTTTTTCCCCCAAAAGCCTGGGCTAGGCTTATCTTTGTTTCATGGAACTGAGGTGAGGGACAGGCTCCAGGATGGAGGGAATAAGTCCATTGCAAGGTACGATTCCAAGCGGCTTCCCACCTTAGGCCTGGAGTCTTCTAAGGCTGGTCTAAGCCTCCGTTTTGGTGAGCAGGAGTGACTGAGCTGTCCCTGTTATGACGCTAGGCTTGATAGCTGGGATAACTCAAAGTCTTTGGTTGAGGCACAGGCTCTTCCAGCCCCAGCTCTGTCTGGTAAAAACCCGCCCCCCCGCAAAAACCAAAAAAACCCTGTCCCCTTGGGGGTGTAAGGGAACAGCTCTCAAACAAATGCAGGACTCTGAGCACCTGCCTGCAGGCTGGTGGCTCTCAGCGTCTCCCTTTCTGAGCCTTAGATAAGAGTTTTTTCTTTAGGTTTTGCATCCCATTCCACTAGAGTCTGTGGCTGGGCCCCTGACTGGCCCCTCCAAGGGAGCCCAGAGCTTTGTTAGGGAAATTGGGGGGTGGGGGACCACAATGAAGCCTATTGTCTCCTGTCCCCTTTTATAGGAAACAAAAGGCTCCCAGTCTCTGGGGAGCCCTAGCCCATGCCCATCCCCTGCCCAACCCCCACTGCCTAGCACACAGGGAGGAGCCAGGGCCACTGGAGACAGGAGGTTTTATTGATGCTGATGGGGGTAGGAAAGGCCCCCCAGGAGCCTGGGGAAGTGGGGGCTGAGTCAGTCAGCAGATGCATAAGGCCTGGGCACAGGGGGGTAGGTCAGGGCACATTCATCTTCTCAGGATTCTGTGGCCCCTTCTTTGGGGAAGGGAGAGAGCATTTTGAGGGGGGAGCAATTCAAAGAGCAGCGAGGGAGAGGTTAGGGACAGCTGAGGGCTCCTAACCTGAGAGAAGGCACCACAATAGGCAGCAACATCTGTGTGGAAAGCTGGATCAACTGGTCAGTAGAGGAGATGGGGGAGGGGCACTCGGGTTGGCTTCTTGGAGAGGGGTCCGGCCTTGGCCTGGGTGAGCTCTCAGAAATACCTGGTGTTCCCAAGCAGAGTGGGGCAGGGCCCAGAGCCCCCTTCCCTATGGGTCTCATTTAGGAGAAACAGGCATTCAGAGAAAAGGGCATTCAGGGACCCCCCCCTGGCAAGGGGTGCCAGAATTAGTCCTTAAGGCACAGCTGGGGGCAGACAAGGCGCCAAGGCACAACTGGTGGGGGGGCAGGGGCAGCCTCCAAGCCGAGTGCCAGGGTCACAAGAGGACACAGGACCGCCCACGCTTGATGGGTGTGGGGTTGAGCACTGCCCGGACGGCCTCAGCAAACACTTCCTTCACGCCGTCCTGCTGTAAGGCCGAGCACTCGAGGTAGCGCACAGCATGGATCTGCTTGGCCAGGGCCTGGCCCTGCTGCGGTGTGATGGGTGCCTGGCCCTGCTCCTTAAGGCGCCGGAGGGTGTCAGGCTGCGCTCTCAGGTCCTTCTTGGTGCCCACCAGCAGGATGGGCACATCAGGGCAGTGGTGGCACACCTCTGGGTGCCACTTGTGCCGCACGTTCTCATAGGAGGGCGGACTGGCAATGGAGAAACAGATGACAAAGACGTTGGTCTGAGGGTAGGAGAGCGTGCGCAGCCGGTCGTACTCCTCCTGGCCCGCTGTGTCCCACAGGTTCAGGTTCACTGTGCGCCCGTCCACCGCGCTCTGGGCGCTGTAGTTGTCGAACACCGTGGGGATGTACTCCTTGGGGAAGGCGTTAGTTGTGTAGCAGATGAGCAGGCACGTCTTGCCCACAGCCCCATCGCCCACCACCACACACTTGATGCTCTGCATCGTGGACGCGGCTGCTACAATGGAGGCAAGGCCTCCTTCCCTTTCCGGGCCCCTCCGGATGCAGTGACCTACAGGCAGATCACAGGACACACGTGGTTAGGGAGGCCTCTAGCCACTGGGGAGAAAGAAGGGAACACGTGGAGGGAAACCAGCCCCTGTTCTCTCAACCTGACACCGTTCTGCAATCCCGTGAAGACAGATCTCTGAGACAGAATGAGAGAGAGAGAATGAGAGCGAGGCCTGGAGACCAAGCCACAATGCTCAGGTGTAAGGACGATGGCAGTATAATGTGTAATGTATTATGTAAAGCAAGTAAGTTCTGGTACCAGACTGAATAAGATCTAATCCTGGTTTTTCTATCTGCTGCCCGTGTGACCCTGGACCAAAGACTTAACCTCTGCATGCCTCTGTATTCTTACCTGTAAAATGAGGACAAAATGCTACCCTACCTCACTGGGTTGTTGTAAGGCTTATGTAAACGGGCACATCAAAGGCATTTAGAACAGTACGTTGGGTCATAATAAGTATTTGGTTAAGTATTAGCTACTTTTTTCCCCCCTCCAGGCAGTAAGACATAAAAAGTGAGGTATGTAAGTAGGGGGTCTACCAGATCCTCTACCAGATAGGGACCCCTCCCACTAAGTAGACTGGAGAGGGCTTCTGGCTCATAGCCGCTGTCCCAGGTCACTCTGAGATGTAGCCATGGGTAGAGCTTCTACCAACTCAGGGCCCACCCTGCCCAGCACACTGATGTTTTAACTCCAAATCTGACATCTTGGCTACTGAGTGCAAACCAAAAGGCACAGTGAGAAATCTGCTAAGTAAGGAGAAAAATTCTCTAGACAGCTGCCCTATCTCAATCCAGGGTGCTTGAGGGATGGGGAGAAAGCGGGAGAGCTGACCTCGTAACTCTCGCAAGCACAGTAAACCCTATCTGGCAACTTGGTGCAGGAGAATACTGGGGGTTGAGCCAGGGCTGGGATTTGGTCTGGAATCTGGTATGTAATGATTAATGAGGCAAAGGCTGTGGCTCCCAGACATCAGCCTCTTCTCTCAAAGCCCTTGGTAGGGTAGGGTAGATCCTCCAAGCCCAGCCAAGAGGGATGGGCAGGAGAGGAAAACAAATGTTTGATTTGCCCCTTCATGTTCCGTCCTTTTCCTTAGATCATAGCATGTGTCTCTGAAAAATTTCAGGGCCTTCCAGACTCTTGGATAGAGAACACAGTGCCATTAAAACACTATCACTGACAATCCATGTTTAAGTCAGACTGGCCAGGGATTGTAATCATAATTCCACCAACCAGTCATGTTTGATCTTGGGCAATATATTTAAGTTTCCCGAGTCTCAAGTTTCTCATCTGTAAAATGGGAATCATCTTGCCTATTGTGTTAGAATTGCCAAGAGTATGAAATGAACAAACATGAAGAAAGTGTTCGGCATGAGGTGTGGCACATAGGAAGTGCCAAATAAATAGGTTGCTGTCATTATTAGTGGGGGAAGTACAAGAGAAGTCCCAGCTCCATGCCATCGCCCTGATCCCTTCTACAGTTCACAGTGCTTTGGAGTGAGGAACTGCTCTTCTGAGTTCTGGAACAGAGCAGAGTTTCCGGAAACCCTGTGATTATTTATACTGGTGTGGCAAGATTCCTCCTCTCATTGGCTACTTCCTCTCAGCCACGGGGGACTTTTTCTGGCCAGTATGTGACTTCCTTTCCCCAACTCTCTCCCACAACCAGATCCCTACTCCCTGGGAGGAAACAGCCCTGTTTTAGACACAAAGGATCTCAAAGTGTCCCTCTTTTCACCAAGCACCAACACCGCTCTCCCATTTCCCCCATTCTACTGTATACAAGCTATACTCTGGTCTGAGAACCCCATACCCTCCAGCTGGACCTCTCAATCACTGGTTCAGAAGCCTTAAAAATCAAATGGAGGGAGGAGGAAGGATTCCCCCACTGGAAATAGAAACAAAAATTCTGGGGGCAGGGATCTGCACAGGACCCAGGGATGGCCCCAGCTCCCTCCCAGGTCTCTACTTCCCCTGGGACCAGAGTGGAGGGAAATGGTTTCACCCTGTAAGGTTGCCTCTCTGGGCATTAAAAATATTTCCATCTTGGACAGACAACGTTGGGAGCAGGTCTGGGAAGGAAATAAGGGTACCCTGGGGCAGTGGAGAGAACCTCAGACTGGAATACAAGAGACCTAACCTAAGTCTTAGCCCCAGCTCTGCTCTGTTGCTGATTCACTGTAACCAAGCATGAGGTACATATTGTCTCTGGGCCTCAGTTTACCAGTCCATGAAATGGGGAGAAAAATGCCTGTAACAAGGGTACTAGATAGAGGAAATGAGACATCAAGAGCCCTGGGAGTAGGGGATAGGATGATGGGGGCAGAAAAGGCCCCCAGGTGGGGGTGGGAGGGCTGAGTCAGGAAATGCACAAGGCTTGGGCACACTGGGGCAAGTTGGGGCACATTCATTCTCAGGGTTCTGTGACTCCTTCCCTGGGGAAAGGAGCAGTTTTTTGGGGGAAAAGGGCCATTACTTGTGTCCACAGGGTTATCTGGGAGACAGTGGCATCTTTGAGAGGATTCCTGGGCTTGTAAATCTTCAGTTTCACACAGAGCAAGGGAGTGGGTATGGGAGTGCCACGGGAACTCTTCCCCTACAAGCCCCACACTGGGCTGGCCCAGGCAGGAAGGCAAGGAGGGAACTCTGGCCGGCAGTCACAAGGCCCAAGAGACTGGAAGTAGAGCAGGCTCCAGGCAGCTCTCTAGGGAGGGGTTATCAACCAGCAATCAGCCTTCAATGAAGCTGGGAGGGACAGGGTCGCTTCCGGGCTGGCAAGGGAACAGGGACTGACACCGGAAATGGAACATGAGTGAGGTAGTGTCCAGAAACAGGACAAAGCTGAAGCAGTGTGGTATAGAGCCAGGAGCACTAGATCCCTGAATCTGACCTCTGGGGCTCACCTGCTGACTCCACCCCTTGATCAGAAACCCTCACAAGGTACAACCTTTCCTAGGTCACGCAAAGTTGTTATTTGACCCTTATGACTACCTACTGGTAATATTCCTAATTTACAGATCAGGAAACAAACTCAGGGAAGTTAAAGTAACCCAACATCACATAGCTAGTTACCCTGGAAGCCAGGACATAAACCCCAGTTTTGTGATACAAAGCCCCGGTCTTCCTCAATGTGTCACACAACCTCCAAGTTACCCCTTACCAGCTGTCTTAGAGACCTTAGACAAGTCAGTCACTTTCCTCCCTGGAGCCTCAGTTTCTTCATCTGTACAACAGGAACGAAAACACTTGCCCTCCCTGCCTCAAAGGGCAGCACTGAGGAACCCTGAGCACAGGAATGAGTGTGCTTTGTAAACTGGGAGGTGCTGTGCATACAAGAGTTACAAAAGCAATGCCTTTCATCCCAAAAGGCAGGAAGCACTAAGTATGCAAGTGTCTAAGTGGTGCCATCAGCCCAATTCTCCCCAAGTCTAGCTCAGACTTTTATCCTCTCTCCCAGGACAACTCTTTCCTCTGAAATGCTATGGCCTAAGCTGGGTCAAATAAGTTCCCACAGCTCATTTAAGGAGAGCACATGCTAGGAAGTGAGGTCCAATCTGTGCCACATAAGAAGGGACAGTCAGTGCTGCAGAGGCCAAACAGAGAGGCCTGGCCTACGTGGAGTCTGGGATCATCTGTGACTTATTCACTAGGTGACTTTTTTTTTTTTTTCTTTTAAGGATTTTTGTTTATGTAAGTTAATGTTTGCAAATCTGTTTAGTATCGGCCAAATTACAATGACTTATTCTGGCATTATATTCTGAACTCAATTCAGATCCTGCCTGGTTCCTCAGCTTGACGTTCAGAATTCTTCATATCTGGTAGGGATTCTGGAATCAGACAGACCTGGATTTAAATCCTAGCTCTGCCTTTTATGAGCTCAGTAACAGCACCAACCTTAACCTTAATAGGTTGCTAGAAGGATTAAGTGCAATGTATGTATCCAGAGTACGTACTTTGCAAATTAGTTTCCAGCTCCCTGATCCAGAGGGATCTCCACTTTCCCTTATAAACAAGCCAGGCTCATTCTTGCTTCTGAACCTTTCTTCTTGTTCTTCTGTATGTTGCTCCCCTCACCCCTCTCACATCTTCCTGCCTCCAGGCCTAGCTTCAGTCTGACAGTCCCATGAGTCCACCGCGTGGCCACCTCCTTTAACCCTTCTTTGGCTCTGAAATTCTCCTCCAATAGCCATACACAAGTTTCCTAGCTTGTGGATGCCACCCCCCCAATACTGAAGCTTAAGCTTCTCTTGACTGCCCCCACAGAAAAGCTAAGCACAGTGTGCGGCCACTGCCTTCTGATCGGCTTGCTTCTAACCCCCATTGCTGAGATCTGGAGAGATGCCTCAGATGCCCAGGATTGGACAATAACCCTACAGCCAAAAGCTTTGACTGAGATAGGCAAAAGTCTCTCCTCCCACTGCTAGCCTTACGTGGCTCCTGCAAGAAGCACAGCTCATGGGGGGCTAATCCTGTCTGGGTGTGGTCTCCGGAGCCCAGCTTGCACCCTGTGGGACCTGGTCTTGGGGTGTGGCCCAGGCAGGCCCAGAATGGGGGAGGGAAAGGAAGCAGCAAATTGCCTGATTGCCAGATCTTGGTGGCCGTTAGAGCAGGGGAAGTGTCCCAACTGGGAGGGGGGGAGGGGAGGAATGGACTGTAAGAAATGGGGGAGTGTGGGAGCAATGGGAACTTACTGCAGCCTTCTAACCTGCCTCCCTGGCATGGAGCTCCCCTTCTATTGCGCTTCCCGAAAGTCATTCTAACTACAGTCTGTCTGTGGGCATTCTGTTCCTGAGCTTGGGCCACACCACCCTGATCCTCCACATGCAGCCTCCACAAAACACATAAAACAGCAGTATTTCCAGTCCCTGTGGGAATCCAGCATTTCTTCTCCATTTCCATCCTCCTACCTGTCCTTAGTCCTGTTCGGGCCTCTAACCTTGGTCCTCCAGAGTCTGGTACTCTTGTCACTTCCTCCAGGAAAGTTTTTGTAAATCATCCAAATTCGTAATGACTTATTCAATCCCAGGCCTGGTCCCCGTTTTCTCTCACATGTACATTCTCTCTTGCATCACATGGAGGCTGATCTGAATCTTATCTCTCATCACTAGATTGGGAGGATCTAGAGGGCAAGGTCCTGGCTGAATCTATCTCCCTGGGCTGAGCACAGCACACAGTGGCTATCAGTAAATAACTGAATGAACTCAATCCATCCTGCATGTCTTCGTACATAGGAGTTCCTCTTCCTAGAATTCTGTTTCCCCAGCCTCAGAGCTTCCCAGTCCTCCAGAGTCCAGTTCTGTCCCCCGGCTTCTCCAGGACACCAAAGCAACCCCCTCTCCTGCCCTATCTTCCCCAGCACTGTCTGAACTATTTATTCACTGCACTGAACTGGATGCCTCATGAGGAGGGAAGTCTGTCCTGGTTACTTCCAGAAGCCCAGCAGAGAGCTGAGCAAAAGCTGCAGACAGACACACATCTCCTCTCCCATCAATCCAGACTTTGATTCTGGGAACACGGAAGAGCCTCCATACCCAGGAGATACAAGGGTAACCAACTTCCTCCTTCCTCTGTGGAGTACAGTTTAGAGTAATGAACACACAGGCTAGATTGCCCTGTACTCTGCTGGAAGGGTGAGAGGGGGGATGCAGGCACAGCTAGCCCAGAGGGATGAAGAAGATGGGTAGGAAAAGTCATCCTGATAAGGCTAAGAACTGGTTAACACCAGAAGACCCTTGGTCAAAGATGAGGTAAGGGTCAGAGTTAGCATTGGAAATGGCTTCAGAAACTCTGGAAGTCTGTTTGTCTTGAAGGACAGGTGGAGAGGTGATATGAAAAGGCTCAGAGGGGCTGCAGCTGGCTGCAGCTGGGCTAGGAGGAAGAAGCTGGGGGAGACATGAGGTCAGTGTGGGGCTGGGACCAGGCCAAGGGCTGAGTCTCTCTTGTTCTTCCCCTTCTCCCCATCAGAGAGAGCCTAGTTCCCAGCCTTAAAAAAAAAAAAAGAATGTATGCGAAACACTCTCCACTTCTTGCTATCCTCCACCCTTCACCCCCTGCAGAGGACCCTACAGGCCAGCAAGTAGGGTAGGAGGCTAAGAGAGTGACTTTGACTCTACCTGGTAGGGGTTGGAAGGAGGAGGAAACAAGACAAGTGTAACCGGGAAGGCTTTGGGGGGCTGGGACCCATTCACTAAGTCCCAGTCCCTTCCTTCTCTCACCATCCCAGGTCCTTGGGTTCTCCACAAAGGGTGAGCCCAGGGCCAGGGCAGCTCAGGCTGGAGGAGCTAAGGAGGCTGCCCCTCCCCCACCAAGCAGCACAGAGGAAGGCTCCAACACTTGCTTCCTCCTCTCTTCCTCCTCCCCGCCTAACAGCCCCTCAGCAGTCCTGGGGCCCCACGAAAGGCCTGTGAAGTGGCACTTCCTTTGCCTTTGCTCATTTCACACGATGCTGTACAGAAATGCCATCCTCCCAATCCTGCCTCCCCCACCTGAAAATACCCACCAGAGAAACCCAGAGCCGCTCTATCCCTTCAGCCCCGCCCCAGGTCTGAGGGGGTTTCCACAAGGGAAAAACACATCAGGGAGGAAACTCCGGCACCGATTTTCCACTGTCAGTGAGGCAGGGCTGGAACAGGGCAGAGGGTACTCCCCCAACTTGCTGCCCCCTGGCATAATCCCCAATGGTCTGCCTAATTCAACCTGTAAGAATCCTTGTGCTTTGTGGGAAAGGAGCCACAGGTCCCATCCCTGGACAGATACTTAAGAGACTATGGAGGCCTGTCAGATCAAGGCTGGCATGAGACAGAGGGCCCAGAGTGGGGGTGCTACTATGAGGAGATTCTTAGGGGACGGAGCGTTAGAGCTCTCAGTATTCTCTATGCTCACCTGGAGGTATTAACAGGCAACTCCTTAATGTTGGAACTCAGTGACAAGAGACAAAGTTGACCAAGGTTATACAGATTTGGAAGCAAATCCAGGACAAGGACCTGGGGCTCCTAACCTTCAGCCTGATGTCACTTCCGCAAAGGAAAAGGTGAGGACTGTTACTCTTGCCTGGAAATGGGCCCATGTTTCTGGCCTCATTTAAGATGACCCAACAATGGTTTTATTCCTTCAGGAAATGGTCCAAAGGGATCAGGTTGAATGCCTGAACCCTTTCTGCCTCCAAGTTCCCTGGCTCTCATGTCTGGTCAATACTAGGCTGCCCATGATCTAGAACTGACATTACTAGACAGACACCCACCCTTGCCTGCCCCAACTGAGGAGCTCCTTCTATAAGCTCTAGCTCATGGGGAGATGTCCTCCACCCATGACATGAGGACAAAAGAGGAAGCTAGACACTAGACAGGAAAACCAATCTGTCCTAGGGAGGTGGCCCAGGCTTTGTCTCTGGTTTCCCTCCTCACAGACCCCTACTAGCCTCACCACTAATGGGTCTACACTGTATAGGGAGGAAGAGGTCTTCATTCTGGGCCCAGGCCCATCACCTTCTTCCCAGCTACCCCCATTCTAATTATCTTCCCAACTGTCTCATTATAGCAATACCTTCTCGTATCTTCCTGCTATGACCTCCTAAAAGCTCATATCAGCCACCTTATCCGACCTAACACATCTGGCCAGAACAACTCTCCATATCCTAGATTCCCAACTAAGATCTGTGACAATCTCACATCAGTCATTTCTTCCTAAAATAAGTACTAGTTTAGTGGGTGGGGAGTCAGAAGTCATGGATGGTTTTTTAATGAGCCATGACACTGAAAAAATTCTTTGCATGCACATCTTTCTCTGAGCTGAAATTTTTTTACAGGTTTCTGGGATTTCCTCCAGGAGTGGAATCCACCTATACCTCTCAGAATGATAGTAGGAGATACAGGTGGGTGGAAGAAGGGACAATTCAAGGGAAAAGGACAACTGTGACATGGGAAAAGGACAGAATGAGGAACCAGATTAGCACTTACATCTTTTTATGCTTGGGAATCCCAAAAAAGTTCCCCTCCACTTCTCTTTTCTTTTTTTTTCTAATAGAGTGAAATGAATACAGTAGACTTGAGGAGATGGAGAGGCAGGATCTCTCAGCATGCTTCCCCAAGACTTGAGGAAGGAGCTTTAGAATGAGGATGCGGGGGCGCCTGGGTGGCTCAGTGGGTTAAAGCCTCTGCCTTTGGCTCCGGTCGTGATCCCAGGGTCTTGGGATCGAGCCCCACATTGGGCTCTCTGCTTGGCAGGGAGCCTGCTTCCTTCTCTCTCTGCCTCTCTGCCTACTTGTAATCTCGGTCTGTCAAATAAATAAATAAAATCTTTAAAAAAAAATAGAATGAGGATGCGAACTTACAGAGCTAGGCTGGACTGAAGTAAAAATCTAGAGAAATTCCTAAAACAGAGGGAGGTAGGCTCCTGGGAGAGAGGGGGAATATTAATGATGTCTGATGGCAGAGGGGTCAGCAGAGGGCTCCCTGGTCAACAAGACCCTGATGTAGCCCAGGGCACGTGGGTTCCCAGCCTGGGCAGGTCCTGTAAGGAAGCAGGGAAGAGGGAGCAGACACCTTTGCCTCACACCCCTCTTCTTTGCCTGTACTGGAACTAAAACAGTTAAGACCTAAGTTAGACCAGTGATAGAGTCTTCCCTCTAAAATCCTGCCTTTGCCCTCTCCCTTTCCTTCCACCACACCTAGGTGACCTCGTCCCACTCTCCCTAACAGGTGGTGTTGGAACCAGTAAGCACTGGAGTCAAGGGCCTTCAGACTCTCCCCCAGCCTCCAGACCTAGCCTCTTGGTTAAGCATCCAAGGGTTTGGGTGATTTTGATTTCCCATGACCTCTCTTACCAGTCTTATTCCTGGGTCGCTCTACCCTGAGAGCTACAGACTGCTTCCTCCTGCCTAACCACAACCTCACCCACTGCAGGTTCCCTTCATTCGGCTGCTTTCCCCTATTCTGGGCACTCTAGAGGCTGAGGGCAGTTATTCTGTCTCCAGGAGATAAAGATATAGATACATGGACAACACCTCGCAAATAAACAGAGAGAAAGGTTTTCCAGCCCTTTAATCATCTTTATCACCGGGAGGCTGTAGCCTGTTTCTCTAAGGTAGGGAGATTTGAAAAGGCTCTCAAACTCACCAAAGATCTGGACCCCAAAGCTGGAGATAAATGGCTGAAAGGGAAGGAGACAGAGAGATAGAGAGGAGTGAGGGAAGGTGTTAGAAGCAAGAGAGTCGATATGCGTTTGGGAGCCAGAAGCTGGTAAGGGGAAGGGAGGGCGGAGGCTGAAGGAACATAGGTGGACAGAGGGGCAGGTCAGGTGACAGAATGGGGCCTAGGCATGAATGTGTGTTTAGGTGAAAGACTACAGAGGATGCAAGAAGAGGGTGATGGACAGTCTGTGGATAGGGTCTGAAGAAGGAATGGAATAAGAGAAATGAGAGTGTACCGAATTCAGGGACTAACGATGGGGGGCGGGGGCGGGAAACAGGGGGCTCCCAATCATTTCCCAAGGCCAGAGCCCCTGCTGCCTCCCCAGAAGCTCTATTCTCTCTCCTCAAAACAGTCCTGCTCTCAGTGATGCCATCTTGTCAGAGACCACCAGTACCTCTGAATGAGAGTCATTTCACCTCTAGTCGCGGGACAAGACCAAGTCTTCTCCTTCCTCACTTTGCCCCCCCAAAAGCAAGGGCAGGCCCAGGTCAGGTAGGCGTAGAGATGTTTGCTAACTAAATACCTGTTGCTTCATTCCAGGGATGGAGAGGTTGGGCGTCAGAAAAACTGCATCCAGAGAGCAGAATTGGGGCTGGCGGGACTCCCCGCTCCCTGCCCCCGCGCCCCCCTCCCCCCCCACCCCCGCCTTGTATAGGACCTTGGACTGCAGCCTGCGAATGTGGGTCTGGATTGGCACCGATCTTCCAGGGAGGGAGCTCTTCCTCCGCAGTCTAGGGCTTCAGACACCACCTTCCTCCAAACTCCCAAATGTCACAACTGCCGGAGTGGAGGGAAAGCGCCTTCTCCAGACCAGAGGGCCCCCTTCCCTCACACACTTCGGAACCCACCCCCCCAACTTCTGAAGTCACCCCACTCGAGTCCCATCTCCCAGCTCTGAGCTCTTCCACTTCAGAGACTTTTCTCTCGGAGCGGGAGACCCTCCCACCTCAGTGGTCCCTCGCGGCTCCGCGAGCCGGAGGAGCCTCGCCATCCTCCCTCGGTACAGAAACCCACCCTCCCAGAACCGCCGCCTGCTTGCAGTGGCCGGCTCCGCGCCCCGCCCGGCCGCGCCCGCCCAACTTGCAGTGAGCCGAGAAGCTCCCGCCCGCGGCCTCCCGCAAGCAAACTTCCCCGGCCGGTGCCGGCTCGCAGTCCCCGCCGGCCGGGATCCCCTCTCCCGGACCCTCAGTCCGCCGGCCCGCGCCGGGCCTCACCTGGTGCCCTCCCCGCCGCGGGGGAGCTGGGGGCGGCGGCAGCGGCTCGGGTCTCAAGAAGGAAGTGAGACCGGGAGGCCGGAGGAAGTGGGGGGGGCGGGCCGGCCGGGGCGGGGCGCGGGGGCGGGGCGCGGCCCGACCAGGAAGTGCGCGGGGCCTGGGGCCCCCGCCCGGGTCTCCACCCCCACCAGCCCCCTGCCCGCGCCTTCCCTGCCCCTGGCCGGGTCTTGGGCTCGCCAGCAGCCCTCTGCCTCGGAGGCCCTTAAGTCAGTCCTCCTAAGGTCAGACTGCCCCGTCTTCTCCTTGCCACCCCCACCCCAGTAGAGGCCCTAGCCTGGGCGCTAGGCTTTTGTCCCCCTCCCGGTATCTCGCCCCCACCAACCCCCGCGGGAAGATGCTGAGAACAGGCGCCCCAAGGTTGGGCGCCTCAATCAAGCCCGGGGATCGAGCGCTGGCCAAAGCTAGGGGTTGGCTAGAGTGGGTCCTGCTGGGGCAGTCCCCACCCCTGCCCCGAGCCCCAGGGGAGTGCGGAGTGGTGGTGATTCAGCAGTGGGAAGGCCCCAGACCCCTGGGGAGGGTGCGGAGACTGGGGGAAGGGGAGCTGGCGTCAGCACCCGGGGAAAGACAAGATCTGCAGAGGCGCCGGCGGAGCCGCGGGCCCCAAAAACAGGATGTCGTGTCGTCGTTCCGCAACCGGCTGCTCGGTGCGCCTGGGCTCTGGGGAGGAGGCGGGGCGGGTGCAGGACGTAGGGCTCCCCTCGCCCGCTCTTCTCGTCAGGGCGCGCAACTGCTTAGGGCTGCAGGGCCGCACCCAGGCCTGAGATCCTGCGGGCGCCCTGGGGACCAATGGGTGGACGGGCTCGTGGGCGCCCTCTGGTGCTTTTGCACTCGGGTCTTGCTCGTGGAGCTCTGTGACTCCAGAATGGATATCCTTCCATCGTTCAACATAAACTTTCTTAGCGCCTACCACGTGCCCAGCTCCGTGCTGGGTGCTGTGAAGGAAAACTGAAAGGCGTTTAAGACAGGCTCCCTGTCTTAAAGAGGCTTTCCAGATAAAGAGGAAGAACAACTCCGAGAATAAATAGCTTAACCTTTAATCTCTCCTTCATCCTGTAGTTGTGGAGATAACATGAGAATGGATGTGAAAGGGCTGCTGTCAATGTCTGGCTCAAAGTAAACATTCAAGAAATGCCTTTAAAAAGAAATCATGCTGTAAGAATGAGTTTCCTAAACACAACATGCCTGCCCGCATCTCTGGGTCTTTGCCGATTCTCTTACCCCTGTCTTTCCTGTGTTGATCGCCAGGCGAAATCCACTCAGACTTTCACGATTTGGGCCTAATGGATTACTCCCTCCTAGGTTGCCATTATCCCTCCTCCCACCGCACACGTGCACACAGACCCCACCTCTGCCCTACAGTTGATAGTCTCTCCCAGTGCTGTCGAATGCAAATAATTTAAGTTATATATGTAGCTCAAAATATTCTAGCGATGACTTTTTTTTAAAGTAAAAAGAAACAGGTAAAATTCACTTAAGTGCTATATTTTACTTAGCCCAGTATATCCAAAAGATTATTCAACCTGTAACCAATATAAAAATTATCGACTATAGAAACGAAGGGGATATTTTACATTCTTTTTTTTCTACCAAGGCTTTGAAATCTGGTATGTCTTTTACACTCACAGTACATCTGAATTTTGGCTAGACGTATCTCATCTGTGCTCAATAGGACATACAGCTAGTGGATAAGGTATAGGACAATGAAGGAGAGAGTCTTACCAGATTCAGGCTGGTGGATGACTGAGTAGGTGCATTCATTTTCTACAAGCCTTCTGGGGAAGCTTATCCTGTTCCTCCTAGGTGGAGTTTGGGTTTGTCTCCTCCCTCCCCATAGCACTTGGAACAGACTTCTCTCTGGAGGAGAGAGCAGGAAAGACAAAAGGAAAATCTGATTACCTTCTGTACCCTACTAGGAGGAGTACATGGCCGGTGCTTGGCATTTGATGATGAAGATAGGATTGTGAGTTTCCATAAAAGACAGGGTTCAGTGAAGGACTACATACTAAAGCAACTTCTATGAAGCCACTAAAAACTGTGTCTCAGAACAAAGGTTTTTGAGCTGAGTTCCCAGAGTTCCCTTCCCAGAACTTGAAAGCAGGAAAATAGTGGGGCTCTGGCCTCCCTTCTTTTCAACCAGTTAGTTTGCTTTTATCTGATTTTTATTCTAGTGTTCTGGATAAAGAGATTAAAAAAAAAATACGGTTATTTACTTGAGAGAGATTGAGAGCATGGGTGGGGGGACAGAGGGAGAGGAACAGACAATCCCAAGCAGACTCTGCACTGACCACAGAGCCCGAGATCATGACTCTAGCCTAGAGTGGGGACCTCAACTGACTGCGCCACTCAGGTGCCCCAAGATCTTATTTTTATAAAAAGTTTCCTGCAAAAAATACTTGAAAATCAATTTTAGAAGCATAGTGGTAGGAATAGGGTACATACAGTACATACACATTATACGCAGTAGACCACAAGGCTGGATTGGCTGCCTAGGGTCAGACTGAATTTCCAGAGCCCTTGATAATGGGGATGGCTGGCCCTGGTTCAGCTTGCTTAGGTGTGAGAAACTGACTTGACTTTGAGGATTTCATGGTCTGGTGGGATAGGGGCTGCTGCATATGAAGATACCAGAGGAAGCAGAAAGAGCCCTGGGCGGGGCTTCAGAGGACCTGAAGTCTAGTCTTGGCTCAGCCAGTCTGGCTACTGAGACTTTGCATTAGGCCTCATCCTTTTCTAGGTCTCAGATTCCTCCACTGGGAAGCAAGGGGTTAAGTCATATGCTACCTTTGAGCTCTGACTTTCTATGATACACTCTTTAGAATAATAAAGTAATTAAGGCTTATGCGTGTAGCTTATTGCTCATAATGCTTTGATACCATTTAGGTCATCTTGCTTTGTGCTTTAGTTAATTGTATCTGTGCCTGATGTCTGTCTTCCCCACTGACTGTAAGTCCTTTGAGGTTGTGTCTGATTCATCTTTGTGTTCACCCACTGGGCCTGGCACAGGCAGGCCTGAGCACCCATTTGTCTTCAGCACACATCTGTGGAATAAAATTGAGGTAAAAAAGCACTGATCTGAGAAAAAAAGAAAAAAAAACACTGATCCGTGTAGAACCATTAGAGGCCAGGTGACTTAGAACCACTTTTAAGGCACAGATATAGGATGGGCCAATAAGGCCACAGGAATGTGAGACAGGTAATGGGGTGGGACATTCTCAAATATCTGCAAAGGGTTCTTGGAGGAGGAAGACGCTTAGCTGGAGTATAGGAAGAGGGCACAGGATCCAAAGGGCTGTTTCTTCTTCCTACTCTCTCACTTGCTTTTCCCAAGTAGGTGAGCTCTTGGTAGATGGTTTATGTTTGTGCTCACAAGCAGCTGAGAAGCAAGGACACCAGCTGGGACATTCAGAAGAGAGACAATGTATGAAAGTACCTGGTGGGGGGCGGCTGGTAAAACAGAGAGATCATAGGCAGGTTCTGAAGCCAGACAGTCCAGGATTCAAATCCTAGTTGTACCATTTTCATCGTGGCCTTTGACAAGTCACATGAACTCTTGCATTCATTCCCTGTACTGTATTTATTGAAAACCTTCTCTGGGCTAGGTATAATGTCACATGCTAATGACGCAGTGGTGAAAACATAGATAAGTTCCTATTCTGATATAACTAGCAAGGGAGATAGATCTTAAACAGTTGATTATGTGCTGTAAGAGCATAGGAACCATTTAGTTCCATTTTAAAATGGGAATGACAATACTATGGGCTTTGTGGGATTGTGAGGATTCATGAAAGAATGCAAGTAGAATGCCTACCAGATTGCCCAGGGTGCAACAAACATTAATTTCTCTGTATGCCCATGACTTGATTCCCCTAGAAGAGCAGGACAGAGACAAGAAAGGAGGAGGAAAAGAGCCTTGAAATGTTTTCGCCTCTGCCCTGGTCTCTTCTGAACAGGTCTTTCCAGCCTAGTCTGTATGAGCTGCATTTCCTGTAGCTCACCAGGGGCTCACAAGGGTCTTCTGCTCAGTGTCAGTCACAGCCTCTTCAGACTTACCCTAAATCTGAGTATTCCTTTGTCTCTGGTGGGGCTCCTCTTGATTCCCTGGTGTTACCTCTCATCCTACCTTAGGAGGAGAAATAGGAGTCTCCCCTCATTACTCTTCTTCATTGCTAACCCCCGCAAACGGGCCTGATGTCCCATTTCGTGACTTGGGAAGATAATGAGTGAGACTGGAGATAGCAAAAAGAACAAACAGAGGAAGTGACAAATGAAACAGAGCTCTAGAGTTGCATTTTCTGATCCATTGTTCCTGATTCCCTCTGAGGAACTAACTAGTTGCGCAGAGGAAGGGCTAGGGCCTTGCCCTATCTTCTAGGAGGGTCCCTCCTCCCAGGCAGGTGGAACAACAGTTGCCCTGTTTGCCTCCGGCAATTTTGCATCCTTGAGGTTCTCCAAACTGGGTGGTACCCACCTGGTTTGTCATAACCCCTCTGGAAATTCCTCCTTCTTCAGCCCTGGTGTGTTCCAGGAACAATTCAGTTTGTGTGGTCAGGCCACAGAGCCAGGATGTGAATCTAGGCAATCTGATTCCAGAACCCCTCCCCCTCACCCCAGCTGTGTGCCTCTGCACACCCTCGGATTGCTTTAGGCAGTTACTTGCTCCTCCTTTGTGCTCACTCACCTGACCCTGAACCAATTCCTCTCAAGACATTATCAACAAGTGCTAATTACTGTTCATATAGAGATTTCCCTCCCAAATGAGCTCTTGGAGGGTAG